CCTAGCCTATGGGGGTGTGTCAAATGTAATTCTATGCTTGTAGGCTACAGTGAGTAGCACAATAGGGAGTACAGTTGTTAGGGTTGCATATTTGTACTTCCACACTTTCTAGTTTTACCATTCCGTTGTTCGCTAACTTTGAGACCATTCAATCCAGCAAGCCTCTGTGGTGGCAAGGCAAATTCCGACTGGATGCAAGGTGGTTTGTGGTGATGCAAGGTGTTTGTGGTGGCATATCCATTGTCATGATGGCTAGTGAGGGGCAGGAAGATGGAAAGGCTCATTGCTACGGTAATTGCTGCCCCAACGCCTGGCATAAACACCAGTCAGGTCAGGCAGGAGCAAGAAGGCAAGCCAGGGCCGAGAGGGCGTCACTGCTGGCCCAGCACTTGGGCGAGCTTGGTAGCAGCGTCCTTCCGTGCACTTGTAGGAAGCTGTGGGGTAGGAAGCACAAGAAGCAAGAACATTAACACCAAAAACAACAGGAAGGCAAAAACGGAGATGGGAGGCGTAGGGAACGACTGGGAAACATTGAAAGGATTCGAAAGGCATGGAATGCAACGCCCATGTCAACCAGGTGGATAGCAGCAACAAGCCAGCACGCCAGACAGCGAGCAAGCCTAAGGCAAAACACTTACCGCCTGCAGCACGCTCGACACAGCCTGTGCCAGCCCGTCCGCAATGCTCCCAGCGTCCCTCTCCCTCGTCAGCACCGGCGCCAGCCTCCCGCCTCTTAGACTCATCACCCTCCTCCTGAACCCCTCCGCATTCCTCCTTGTACCCTGCACCTAGGCCACAAATTGCTTATCATCCAACCAATCCCCTTCATCTAAAGCCTCGCTCGTCCGTAGCGCCTCACTCTCCCCCCGCTTCACCCTCCGCTCATCCAGATACCACCGCTTCACCTCCGCGATCGCGTCAATCTTCCCCAGCCCGTCCACCTACAGCATGAACTGCCTCGCAAGCCCGTCCTCCGCAACCTTCTGACTCAACCTTGAGTAGAAATACGCCCTCGAGCTCTCCCAAGTGACAATATCCCGGATCGCGCCCTTAGTGTGTCTAGGTGTGTGAGACAAGGCTGGGTGTGTGAGACAAGGGCAAGGCTCCTTTGGATCTGGTGAGCGAGAGAAATGCCACTGCTGTGGTTAGACTCATAGAGGTGCTCATTGCTTGCCTGCTGTGGTTAGACTCATAGAGGTGCTCATTGCTTGCCTACTGTGGTTAGACTCATAGAGGTGCTCATTGCTTGCCTGCTATGATTAAACTCATAGAGGTGCTCATTGCTTGCCTGCTGTGGTTAGACTCATAGAGGTGCTCATTGCGGTGGTTAGACTCCTAGAGGTGCTCATTGCTGCCTGCTGTGGTTAGACTCATAGAGGTGCTCATTGCTTGCCTGCTGTGGTTAGACTCATAGAGGTGCTCATTGCTTGCCTGCTATGATAATACTCATAGAGGTGCTCATTTCTGCCTGCTGTGGTTAGACTCATAGAGGTACTCATTGCTTGTCTGCTGTGGTTAGACTCATAGAGGTGCTCATTGCTTGCCTGCTGTGATTATACTCATAGAGGTGCTTATTGCTTGCCTGCTATCGTTAGACTCATAGAGGTGCTCATTGCTTGCCTGCTGTGGTTGGACTCACATAGAGGTGAGGTGCTGGTAGGGGGGAGGAAGGGAGGGGAGGTAGCATGTGTCAGTGTGTGTTCGAAAGCTTGATACTTCCAGCAAAGGGTAGATGGCATGAGCAGAGAGACAAAAATGTTAACTTAGAAAGTGGGGTATGGATCCCCATACCTCTCGCATGCTAAGCGAGCGCTCTACCATCTGAGCTACATCCCCATGACGGACATGGCCATCTGTCACATACCGTCATTTTCTATGCAGGGGAGCAACGGGAGGTGTGGAGGAAAAGGTTGCTTGCGTCAGCAATTCCTCAGCAAACCCTCTCAGTGGCGTGACACTCTTCTCCTCGCAGTTATCTCCCTCGTTACACTACATCCTCTCACCCCACTTCCCCTCGGTCGCCCTCAACGCCTTCCTGCACCTACTCTACTTCCACCTGACATCCAGCCGCATCGCGACCTTTGGAACACCATCGACTGGGGGAATGAGCTCTCGACCCCACGTCGTACAGTCTACGGACCCGATCTCAAGCCACGCAAGCCTGCCCTCGTCCCCGGCACGATCCCCAGGACGAACATCCCACTCTCTGTGATACTCGACATAGAGTTATTGGCGCTGAGGCTGACGACGGCGAACGACAAAGAAGAAAAAAACTGAAGAAGCAGCGGCGGAACCTGCCCCAGTACCAGAAGAAGATCCCGAAACGGTGCGCGCACGCTATATGCGCACCTCTGGATTCCGCGCAAACGACAACCTTTGGCACCAGCGCCTCCGTCACCCATCGCGCACCGACTCACACTCGGGGAGCGCCATAGATGTCCCATTTTGGATAGAAAGCTACCTATCCAAACCTGTATACTCTCACTCTGCAACGTAACCAATTATTACCAAACCACATTAAAACCTCCCTTCAAACCATACCTAACAGCCATGAGGGCGATGTTTCACACATGAATCACACCTTCGTGTCGACAAAAAGAACTTGCATAGACATTTCACATTCACACGTCAAAACTACGAGCAACTGCGAAGGGAGCAAATGAGCTCATTTCGGGGACGTGCTCGGGACGTGCGGAACACATCCGAAGGTTCGTCTCCCAACTCGCTTCCCGTCAAAGTCGTCAAACAGTAACGCCTGTTTTCGCCAGCCAATATATTAATCCCTTCACCCTATATGCAGAAACCCTCGCAACATTGGACGTTAATGCACCTTGTCAAAAGTCCGCACTGTACACTCCGAACTGGACAGGAAACGTTAGGAGTACGCCCTAGGGTACAGCCAAATTTGACAAGTGTGTTGTCGTAAAAATAACGAAAAAAACGGGAGTGTGCTAAGGGTGGGTCAGGTAGGTTACGTTTTCACAAATTTTCAATTCAGTTACCCAATTTGGGTGTGAACAAATACAATTTGACACACCCCCAAAGACAAAGTGGGGGATAGCAAACACAGCGGATGGTCACAAGACCAGTCATGCAAGAGAACAAATCAAAGCAAAGCTCAGGGTGGATCTCAAGATCACCACGCATTCGGAGCACAAGCAAGCGGCCACAAGGCCAGTTCACATGCAGGGTTATAAAGGCATAAGCAGTACAGTGATCACAACCTAGCAAGAACAAGCATGTAGGTATATATATATATATATATATATCACAGTACAAGACAAGTCAAGCAACCAGCAGGTGAGGCAGAGGAGGCACAAGGCCTAGAGCAGTGCAGAAACGCTGATGATCACCAGACCCAAGGGCCTTGGTGAAGACATCAACAGTGTTGGCCCGAGAGGCCACGTAAGCAAGGCGTAGCTGACTACGCTGCTGCAGCTCCCGAGCAAGAAAGTAACGAAGAGTAAAGTGCTTTGTCCTGTGCTCTAGTCTCTGCTCCTGACTCAAGGCAATCATGGCCTTGTTGTCAACGTACAGAACTGGAGGAGAACGAGGCCGCTCACCCAAGTCGGTCAGCAGGTAGGTCAGCCAGCGTAACTCCTGTGCAACCATGGCCCTAGCGTAGATCTTGGCCTCACAGCTGGAACCAAGCACAGAAGACGAATGAGTGGACCTCCACGAGACAGAACCAGAGCCGAGGCTGAAAGAGTAACCCTGGGACGACCGCTGAGTCGCCTGGTCGTCAGCCCAAGCAGCGTCGGGGTGTCCTGTGAGTACCACTGGACCCCGTCCTCCAAGCACAAGCCCCATGCCTGATGTACTGCACAAGTAACGCAGTACCCTCTGTGCAGCTGTCCAGTGCTCCTTCCTGTGTCGCCCGGGGGCGACGAAGCGAGCAAGGATGCTGAGAGGGTACGCGAGGTCAGGTCGTGTGCACGTCATCAGGTACATGAGGCAACCCACAAGCTCTAGGTACAAGCCACTCGGCTCTACGGACTCGTCCAAAGGTGGAGCTGAGAGCGAGTGGCCGGTAGCCAGAGGAGTGGGCTGTGGTGAGGAGAACCGAAAGCGGAAGCACTGAAGGACCTGGTGCACCATGTATGACTGAGTCAGGGTGATGGTGCGCCGTGCTCTGTCCCGAGTGATCTACAAGCCAAGATAGCTATGCAGCTCACCCCGGTCAGTGCAAGTGTGTCTCTTTTGCAGTTCCGCCTTCACAAGGGTCAGCGCCTCAGTATCGGCAGTAGCAAAGACCAAGTCGTCGACGTACACGAGGATGTAGAACGGCGGCAGAGTAGGGTCGGTGCGGAGAAATAGTGACGGGTCAGCATTGGAAGGAGTGTACTTTTTATTAAATTCCCCACCTTGGACAATAAACGAACAGTGAGTCGGTTCAGGATGAAAACGTCCTAGATAGCCTGGGGGTTACGACTTCAGGTTCATGCTAGAAACGTGCGGCAGTTCACAACCTGTCCAGTAAAGGCTAGAGTAACATACCATTTTCGCTTAACCAACTTCGCTGTGATCTTCGCTTTTTCCGCCCCCTCGCCATATCTTTGCCTCCCTGTTGCCAATGCAGTATAGGTGGCGTATGTGTGTGTGTGTGTGTTTTTTTTTTTTTTTTGGGATGTATTACACTATGCAATGTATACACCCACTGTCGTAACTGGAGAAGCAGGAGAGCACTAGCAGCCACGCAGCAGCCAACCATGGCCCCTCCGTACCACCCTACGGTGGCTTGAAAAATGTACTAGGCCTTTCCCAGATTGACCTGAATTCTTCGCTCTACATCATCCTCCCCTCGTCCCCACAAATCCGCTCCAACGCCCCCAATCCTCCAGCTGTCAGATTTTGCCCCCGTCCCTCATTCTTATCCTTGCGTTGGTTACCAGCTTCGGAGAAGTGGGGTATCGATCCCCATACCTCTCGCATGCTAAGCGAGCGCTCTACCATCTGAGCTACATCCCCATGCCAGAAGTGCCCATGTGTCTGTACGTATAATGTTCCACCCATCAGAGCCGAGTGACTTTGTTGGAGTGCTACGTGTGCCAAAAGAATTCCTCTGTGCCATTAGGACTCTGTTCCTCGCTGCTCCCCTCTTCGCCCTCGCCCCCCTTCTTGTCTTGCTCCATCAGAGCTGGATGGCGTTGTTCGAGAACTATGTGCGCCAGCAGACCCTCTTTGCGCCGTTGAGAGAGGCTGCCCCCCCGTTTTCTCCGGTTCAGCCTCACCCCCTCTCTTCGCCCTCGTCCCCCTTCTCGTCTTGCTCCATCAGAGCCGTGTGGCGTTGTTCGAGAACTATGTGCGCCAGCAGACCCTCTTTGCGCCGTTGAGAGAGGCTGCCCCCCCGTTTTCTCCGGTTCAGCCTCACCCCCTCTATTCGCCCTCGTCCCCCTTCTTGTCCTGCTCCATCAAAGCCGGGTGGCGTTGTTCGAGGGCTATGTGCGTCAGCAGACCCTCTCTGCGCCGTCGCTAGTGAAAGCCTTTATCCCGCAATGGGTGTACCGGAGAATGTAAGTTACATCCAGTGCTGGTTTCTTTTGCCTCTGCTTGCGATGGGTTCATAGGGGAATCGTACGCGGAATTGCTTTTCAGTGCCCACGCCACTGCGTTTTTTGCCCTCCTCTGCCTCTGATATCACCTCACTCTCCACCCCTCCCCATCCCTCTCCACCGCTCTCCGCCCATGCATAAGCAGCTGGGTGGCAGTGCTACCTGGGCCCACCATGAGTGACGGGCGCTAGACATTCCGCCTCGCTCTCTATCCGTCCATGGCTGTGAGTGTGTGCATGCATGCATGGCTGTGAGTGTGTGCATGCATGCATGGCTGTGAGTGTGAGCATGCATGCATGGCTGTGAGTGCATGCCCGCAACGCATGGCATTCCGCCTCGCGCTCTATCTGTCCATGGCTGTGAGTGCCCCTTACACATGCATGGGAGTGAGTGCATGGGGTTGGGTGCATGGGAGTGAGTGCATTCATGGCTGTGAGTGTATGAGTGCAACAGTGCATCTTGACGCACAGAAACACATGTAGGCACCCCATTACACTTGACGACACCCCACCTCCACTCCACCTTTACTCCCAACCATCCACCCCCAACCCGCCACCCGCCATCCTCCGCCCTCCACTCTCCAGTAAGGCTCGCTGTTGCCCTACTCCCCACTCTTCCTTCCCTTACAACCTCCACTATTGTGGCGCCTCAAAAGCCTACTCTCCACTCTTCCTTCCCTGACAACCTCCACTACCTGCTCCACTACTCGCTGTTTGGCTCGCCCTCCTTCAACATAGCGCTACACGTGCCTGCAGTGCCTCTCTTCGTGCCTTTTTGACAGAGGCCCCTCCCCTCCCCTCTTCCTTCTCTCCCCCACCCTTCCCTTCCTTCACAACATGCTGCAGCAGTTTGGCTCGCCCTGTTTCGTCGACATAGCAATGCACATGCGTTTACTCTTTCAAAATAAATCAACCCCTTGCCTCCCCCTCCCTTTCCCCCCCCAATCTGCTGCCGTTCAGTGCACCTTATTTCGACATAGCGCTGCATGTGTGCCGCATTCACATGACCAAGCTGGACTCCGCCAACCATGGGGCGCCTCCTGAAGGGTTCCCCCTCCCGCCTTCCCCCCTCCAACCCCCCCATATGATCCACTGCAGTTCGGTGCACCTTATTTCGACATAGCGCTGCATGTGTGCCGCATTCACATGACCAAGCTGGACTCTGCCAACCCTGTACTCGTTATAGAGGACCCCGTTCATGGTATGGCACCTCCTTCTCTCATGCTACTCTTTCCCAACACCCTATGCGATTCTTCTTTCTCCCAGTGAGGCTTATTTCTGCTCTTATTGATTCTCGGCGTATCTCTGCTCTCTGTGTGATGTGTGTGCTTTGTTTGTTGCACTCGCCTGTGTATGCCCATCCATACGTGTTCATGTTCATCTCACATGCGCATTTCCATGCCCACCTGCCTGCATGTTCACACACACACATGTTCCTGCACATGTCCAATCACACATGTCCACATCCGTATGGAATGTCTATGCATGCATGTGTGTGGGATTGCATGTCTGCATGTGTGTGCATGTTTTCATGTGTGTGCATGTTTGCATGTGTGTGCATGTCTGCATGTGTGTGCATGTCTGCATGTGTGTGCATGTCTGCATGTGTGTGCATGTCTGCATGTGTGTGCATGTCTGCATGTGTGTGCATGTCTGCATGTGTGTGCATGTCTGCATGTGTGTGCATGTCTGCATGTGTGTGCATGTCTGCATGTGTGTGCATGTCTGCATGTGTGTGCATGTCTGCATGTGTGTGCATGTCTGCATGTGTGTGCATGTCTGCATGTGTGTGCATGTCTGCATGTGTGTGCATGTCTGCATGTGTGTGCATGCCTGCATGTGTGTGCATGCCTGCATGTGTGTGCATGCCTGCATGTGTGTGCATGTCTGCATGTGTGTGCATGTCTGCATGTGTGTGCATGTCTGCATGTGTGTGCATGTCTGCATGTGTGTGCATGTCTGCATGTGTGTGCATGTCTGCATGTGTGTGCATGTCTGCATGTGTGTGCATGTCTGCATGTGTGTGCATGTCTGCATGTGTGTGCATGTCTGCATGTGTGTGCATGTCTGCATGTGTGTGCATGTCTGCACGTGTGTGCATGTCTGCATGTGTGTGCATGTCTGCATGTGTGTGCATGTCTGCATGTGTGTGCATGTCTGCATGTGTGTCCATGTCTGCATGCGTGTGCATGTCTGCATGTGTGTGCATGTCTGCATGTGTGTGCATGTCTGCATGTGTGTGCATGTCTGCATGTGTGTGCATGTCTGCATGTGTGTGCATGTCTGCATGTGTGTGCATGTCTGCATGCATCGCCCTATGGCTGGCAGCGGAGAAGGGCAAGTGGAAGTTTGTGAGCGACAAGGATTCACCCGACCCCTCTCATGTGTGTGTGCATGCCTCCGTGCATGCATCCATGCATCCCCCCATCCATCCATGCATGCCTGCATGCATCTGTCCACACCAGCGGAGAAGGGCAAGTGGAAGTTTGTGAGCGACAAGGACTCACCCGACCCCTCGCAGATCTTCCGCCTGCACGACACCTGCCGGGGAACGCCACGGGTGAGTGTTCTTTCCCCTCTCTTTTCTCTCCTCTCACGCTTTTGGTGACTCAAAAGTTCACCCGACCCCTTCCAGATATTCCGCCTGCACAACGCTTGCCGGGGAACGCCACGGGTGTCTTCTCTCCCCTCTCTCCCTCCTATCTCACTCTTCCCTCCTCTCTCCCCTCTCCCTCCTATCTCACTCTTCCCTCCTCTCTCCCCTCTCCCTTCACACTTTCCTCTTCTCATGCTTCCTGCACGACGCTTGTCGGGGAGCGCCATGGGTAATTCTTCCCTCCCTTCCTTCTCTTTTCTCTCCTCTCACTCTCTTGGGTGGCTTTTGAGTCGAATCACTAGTTCACTCAACCCCTCCCAGATATTCCGCCTGCACGACGCCTGCGGGGGAACCCCGCCAGTGACTCCTCTCTCCCTTCTCGGTCTTCTCCTCTCTCAGTTGTCTCTCCTCTCACTCCTCTCTCCCTTCTCAGTCTTCTCCTCTCTCAGTTGTCTCTCCTCTCACTCCTCTCTCCTCTCACTCTTTCCTCCAATTTGCGCTTTCAACTCTATCACACTCCTTTTTCAAACCGCATCTGTAATTCTATTAATGACCTCCTATTTTTGAATCCCATTCTCACCCTACCCCCGCTACCTGCTAAAGGCTCGCACCCAGTCAGCCAATCAGCGTCCAACACCTCAGCATGTGGCATCCTCTCCCCGCACCCCACAATCACATGCACCAGCAGCCCAGCTCCCTGCATCTCGGTCTCACACTGCCCCCTCCTCCATTCACCATCCCCCCCAACCACAGATGAACCCCACCATGTATCCCCAACCTCCTGCCACTCCTGCCATTTCCCCGTTTGCTGCTCCTGCTGCTGCCCCTTATTCTGCTCTTGCTGCTGCTGCTTATGATGCCTATGCTGCGGCCTATTGCACACAGCAGCAGGCACAGCAGCAGCAGCAGGCATGGCAGCAGTATCAGCAGCAGCAGCAGGCATGGCAGCAGCAGCAGCAAGGGGGGTGTTCAGGAGCAGCAGCAGGAGCAGGGGAAATGGCGTCAGGACCATCTGAATCCAGGGGCGTGGTGAACGTGCACGCGTGGCAGGATGACGTGGACGAGGACACGGCGTTCCAGCTGGCACTGACTGAGTCGATGCACACTGCTAGCACCGCTGGTTCTTCCCGAGCCGACGCTCCTGGTGCTTCTAGTGCTTCTAGTGCCGCCGCTGCGGCTGCTCAGGGAATGAGCAGAGGGGAGGGAGGAGCAGACGGGTTTATTCTCACCCGCTCCTCCTCCGAGCCTCACTCCAGATCCGGACGCTCCCTCTCCTCATCTTCCTCTTCCGCTGCTGGTGCTGGTGTTGCTGCCTCTGGTGCATCCACTTCTTCTCATCGCTCCTCCAGGTCCGTTTCAGCCTCTGCTGATCGCCACCCCTTTGCCGCACCTGCTGCCCCTATCCCCTCTTCCTCTGCTGCCGCTGGCGCTTCTTCTGGCGCTGCTGCCGCTGGCCACGCATCCAGGTCGGCAGGTACAGCTGGCACTACTGCAGCTGGGGTGGAAGGGGGTAGAATGCGCGATGAGATTGCGAAACAGTTCTCATCTGTGGCACCGGCGTTCAACCGAGCAGCAGCAGCCGTGTCATCGCTCTTTGCTTCCGGCCCACCGTCAGCACCTCCTGCGGATGGTCCTGCTTCCACATCAGGAGCATCAGTGGGAGCAGGGAGAGTGCCAGGAGCATCCGTGACAGGCCAGCCAGCAACAGCAGCAGCAGCAGCAGCAGCAGCAGCAGCAGCAGCAGCAGCAGCAGCAGCAGCAGCAGCAGCAGCAGCAGCAGCAGCAGCAGCAGCAGCAGCATCAGTACCACCAGCACCGGAAGGGGCAGCTCCAGCTTTCAATGCTAGAGCAGCAGTGGCTGCGGAGGCGATTGCAACAGCAGCAGGGGCTCTCACTTCAGCAACAGCCGCTGCAGCCGCGACGGCATGGCAGCGAACCACGGGCCACCGTGCTTCCTTCTTCGACCCTCCTCTCATCCAGTTCTCCCCTCCCAGCAGCCCCAGGCAAAACCCACACCCTCCCATCCACCCTCAGGCTCAACCACCTATCATCACCCACCAGGTTCAACCACCTATCACCCATCAGCACCCACCTGTTTCCATGAACCCTCAGGTGCAACCACCCAACTCCCATCCCCATACACCTGCCATCGTCCCATCCCCTGCTGCTGCAGCGTCGGTAGCTATTCCTGGTGCGTCTTTCTCGTCTGTAGGCGGCTCGTTTGCTGGTCTGCCTTCGCCAGGAGCAGCATCTGTAGCGGAGCTACATCCAAGCTACAACCCTGAGAGGGTGCGGGCAGAGCTCACCAGGGCACAGAGCCGAGGGCACGGAGCGGCAGGAGGAAGGGCAGCAGGAGGAAGGGCAGCAGGAGGAAGGGCAGCAGGTACAGCGACAGGCGCAGGAGCAGGAGCAGGAGCAGGAGACGAGGCAGGGGCAGAGGCAGGGGCGGGAGCAGGAGTAGCAGCAATGGGAGGGAAAGCAGGAGAGGCATCTAGAGAGGGTTGGTGCGTGATTTGCTGGGATTCAGCAGCGCAGGCAGTGTGTGTGCCTTGCGGGCACATGGCGGGGTGTGTGGAGTGTCTAGCTGAGGTTAGATCCAAGGGCTGGGGTTGCCCTGTGTGTCGAGCTCCCATTCGAGAAGTGGTGAAAATCTTCCATGTTTAGGTTTCTTTTGAGTCGACTCAAATGTCACCTCCTTGCGGGCATGTAGTGGGGTGTGTGGAGTGTCTCACTGAGGTTAGATCCAAGGGCTGGGGTTGCCCTGTGTGCCGAGCTCCCATTCGAGAAGTGGTGAAGATCTTCCATGTTTAGATTTTGTGCTTGCTTGATATTTGCGGTGAGAACATCATTTTTGCTTTGCATAGTCCTAGCTTAACTGTGCTACACGGACACCTTGCTAAGCATGACATCTGCTTCAACAAGTTCACATTTTCAAATGAAACAGATACACTGGTGATATACATTGAGGAGGTGCAGGTTTTTTTAAGTGTATTATGCACTTCAAAAGTCTCATCATATGTGATTCGTTGGTGTGCTATTGCGTGTTTCGCGGGCTACCTCATCAGTCTCTTTCCATAACCGAGATGTCAGAGGTCCACTGGTGATCCCAGATTGATCATAGGGAAGGGTTACATGCACGTTGGCCTGGGGGGCTATGGGCGCACTCACCCACTACACAAACAAGCCATTTTATCACAGTGGTTAGTGGCTGGGATTCTGACACGAGATCACAGGTTTCGCGTAAGAAACGGAGGTTCGTTGCGACTCATCTGAGCATACCGTAGTAGGTTCTAACTGTTACTCTTCATAAAGATGACATTGTCCAATAAAAAAAGAGAGTAAAAGCTGCATATCATTCGAGGTGTTAAGAGCTTCAGGTGTATCAGTTGAATCCATTCTTTTAGGTGCAGGTTAATTAAATCGGTTTTTGTTTTTCATTGATGAAAGATACACTAAGAGTGTACAATACATGGATTGGTTATACGCGTTTCACGTTCTGCGCATGCTGTGGCACTGGAGCATTTCGCGGGCCTGCCGCGTCAACTGCTTTCCCAGTGCCCAGATTCCAACGAGTGAAGCGGTCAACGGGCTTCAACGATAGCGCAGGTTCTATGGAGCCTCTTGGCGTGACCAAGCAGCACAGCGGATCAGTCGGAAGCTCATTTGTGAGTCATTTTGGCTTCGCAGGTTGGGATTGTAATACGAAAGGGGACATTGTTGAATCTCCCTGTCCTGAAATGCGCCTACGAAACCAGAGAGAGAGGCGCAAGTCGCGGATTTGACCTGGCGGAAAATAGATCAACCCGCCAAAACTAATCGCATCCTTTCGAGCCGCGTCCCCTCCCCACCACCACACCACATTAGCATAAAACCATGCACCCGTCACTCACTTCAGCATCCTCCTCAGTACTCTCACTCGAGCTTTCTCACAAATCGAGCTCTTGCCGCCCGCCTAGCAAGTGCTCGGACTCCGAGCGGAGAAAATCGTTCCTGCACGATGGCCTGCAAAATGCGAGTCACGGTGTTGGCTCTTCTGCTGCTCGCGCTTTTAGCAGCGTCGGCGTTTGTAACGCTGGGTGAGTGTCCCACTTTGTTGCACACCTATCTATCCTCCAATAACAGCCATTTCCAATACGGTTCACCTCCATTCTCTACAATGCAAATTTGTTATTTCAATTCCACTAATTAACTTGCGCCCTTATCGTGCATTCTATCTAAATCAACATTTATGATATATAAAACGTGTCTTGTCCATCGGCGCAGGATCCGCGAGGTCCCTTGCTCCGCGCCGCAATCTTGTTCTTAAAGCACAATCAGTTCTGAAGGCAACAGCAACCAGACCAGTTTTGATAACTGTTGGCTTGGGCGCCGGCAATGAAGTTGATTTGGGAGGCGGCGGCAGTGGCGGAGATCTGGGCGGCGGTGGTGGCGAAGATTTGGGCGACAGCAGTGGCGGAGATTTGGGCGGCGGCAGTGGCGGAGATTTGGGCGGTGGCAGTGGCGGGGACCTGGGCGGCGGAAGTGGCGTAGACCTGGGCGGCGGCAATGGTGGAGAGCAGGGCGGACCCGGCGAAGAGCAGGGTGGACCCGGCGGAGAGCAGGGCGGACCCAGCGGACAGCAGGGCGGACCCGGCGGACAGCAGGGTGGACCCGGCGGACAGCAGAGCAGACAGCAGGGCGGCTAGCAGGGCGGACCTGGCAGCAGGGCGGCCAACAAGGCGGCCAGCAGGGCGGACAGGGCGGACCACTGCAGCAGGGCGGACAGGGCGGACCGCCGCAGCAGGGCGGACAACAGAGCGGCCAACAGGGCGGACAGCAGGGCGGCCAGCATTGCGGATTTAGCGACCAGCAGGGCGGCCAGCAGGGCGGTCAGCAGGGCGGTCAGCAGGGCGGATTTGGCGGCTAGCAGGGCGGACAGGGCGGACCGCCGCAGGGCGGACAGCAGGGCAGCCAGCAGGGCGGACAGGGTGGACCGCCGCGGCAGCAGGGCGGACAGCAGAGCGGATAGCAGGGCGGATTTGGCAACCAACAGGGTGGACAGCAGGGCGGCCAGCAGGGCGGCCAGCAGGGTGGACAGTAGGGCGGCCAGCAGGGCGGACAGTAGGGCAGCCAGCAGGGCGGACAGGGCGGACCGCCGCAGCAGGGTGGACAGCAGGGCGGCCAGCAGGGCGGACAGGGCGGACCGCCTCAGGGCGGAGAGCAAGGCGGATCCGGTGGACAGCAGGGCGGCCAGCAGGGGGGAGCTGGTGGGATCAAGAGGGTGCTGGCGGGGGGTAGGGTGGAGCAGGCAGTTCGAGCGTCGCCACTACTCAGAGTGCGAGAGGCAGTACGATCAATACAACAGGTGCCAAGGGTGGAAAGGGAGGGAAGGGCGGCAAGGGCGGAAAGGGTGGAAAGGGGGGGAAGGGTGGCAAGGGCGGAAAGAAGTGAAAGAGCTGTTAGGACCCCTTTGGTTTGTGTTAGATGCTTTATAGCCTGTTTCGTGTGAGTGCCTGTAGATTACGCTTTGTTGTATCATCCTATGTTGTAAAAGTTTTTGTTTTATGCATATTTTTGTCGTTTTTTTATCAAGCAAGCTGCCCATTTTTCTGCAAACCAACGCATCCTCCAACCGATTTTCCTGAATCGGTTGCACATTTTGATTGCATATATTTCTGTTTTTGTTACACATCTTGATTGTGCCTGATCGAATGAAGAAACTGTACCTAGTAATACCAATCTGCCTCCAGTCCCCCGTGGGTCATGCCTAAAAGTACCCCCTGAATTGATGGATGAAGCCCAATGCAACCCACACACCAACATGTGTGTAGAGTGGGTATCGTATGTGTGGTCACCTAGAGGGCCTGAGCATGATTACTGGCTAGGCTGGGCTGGGTTGGGCTGTGAGACTCAGCTGCCCGGGCACTCTCTGTCCCAACACTATGTGCGGCGGTTACGATAGTTGGAACTTGGATGTACCTTTGTAGAGTACAATGCCTTATGCAAATGCACCTTTGTAGAGTACAATGCCTTATGCAAATGCACCTTTGTAGAGTACAATGCCTTATGCAAATGCCACGGGGTAGGGCTGCCTGGTTGCTGCTGCTGAGCTGAGCCATTGATGAGGTGCATGAAGTGGATTTTAGCTGATAGAAATGTTACAAACTACTGTATTGCTACGAACAAACATTATAAGCAAAATGTTACTCAGTGTTGCTGTATTTGCTATCAACTGTGACCCTACACCATCTTGAGCAGACCCAGTGCTTGAAGGAAGAATATCAGTGTTTCCTCAGTATGACTTGTCTGGCCACAGCTGTGCAGATGTCAGTACACCTGTGCCCATTCTCATATCCGGGTTTATACAAGTGCATCAAAAGAATATTCAGGAAGGGAAGGGAGGGAGTGGGGGGTTGGGAAGATAGAGGGGGGAAGCAGGAAGGCAAGAAACTGCCTCTTCTAGTGGCTAACAGATTTGATACTGTCTCCTCACACCACCTTTGGCTACCTGAATGCTGGCTGCACGGCGCTATTGGTGACAAACTGGCCCCGGCTCCCATTCAATGCATGCAAGCCTTTGAGGTCGCATATCCGACTGGATGCAAGGTACTTGTGCTGGTGGTGGCATATCCATAGTCATGATGGCTAGTGAGGGGCAGGAGGATGGATGGATGGCCTCGTTGCTGGGATAAACACCCGTCAGGTCAGGCAGGAGCAAGAAGGCAAGCCAGGGCCGAGAGGGCCTCACTGCTGGCCCAAGCACTTGGGCGAGCTTGGCAGCGGCGTCCTTGCGCGCACTTGTAGGGAGCTGTAGGGAAGAAATCACAACAACCAAGAACAAGGCACGAACAAAAACACCAAGAAAACAACAAGAACACACAGGAAAACCATGAATCGGGCAAAAATGGAGAGGGAACGAGTGGGAAACATTTAAAGGTTTCGAAAGGCACGGAATGCAACCTACAAAACAACCAGGTGGATAGCAGCAAGAAGCCAGCAAGCCAGCAAGCCAAAGGCAAAGCACGTACCGACTGCAGGACGCTCGACAGTGCTTATGCCAGCCCATCCGCAATGCTCCCAGTGACCCTCTCCCTCGTCAGCACCGCCGCAAGCCTCCCCCCTCTCAGACTCATCACCCGCCTCCTGAACCCCTCTGCATTCCTCCTTGTACCCTACACCCAGGCCACAAACTACTTATCATCCAACCAATCCCCTTCATCTAAAGCCTCGCTCGTCCGTAGCGCCTCACTCTCCCCCCGCTTCACCCTCCGCTCATCCAGATACCACCGCTTCACCTCCGCGATCACGTCAATCTTCCCCAGCCCGTCCACCTACAGCATGAACTGCCTCGCAAGCCCGTCCTCCGCAACCTTCCGACACAACCTTGAGTAGAAATACGCCCTCGAGCTCTCCCAAGTGATAATATCCCGGATCCCGCCCTTAGTGTGTCTGGGTGTGTGAGACAAGGCTGGGTGTGTGAGACAAGGGCAAGGCTCCTTTGGATCTGGCGAGCGAGAGAAACGCCAATGCTGTGGTTAGACTCATGGAGGTACTCATTGCTTGCCTGCTGTGGTTAGACTCATAGAGGTGCTCATTGCTTGCCTGCTGTGGTTAGACTCATAGAGGTGCTCATTGCTTGCCTGCTATGATTAAACTCATGGAGGTGCTCATTGCTTGCCTGCTGTGGTTCAACTTATAGAGGTGCACATTGCTTGCCTGCTGTAGTTAGACTCATAGAGGTGCTCATTGCGATGGTTAGACTCCTAGAGGTGCTCATTGCTGCCTGCTGTGGTTAGACTCATAGAGGTGCTCATTGCTTGCCTGCTGTGGTTAGACTCATAGAGGTGCTCATTGCTTGCCTGCTGTGATTATACTCATAGAGGTGCTCATTTCTGCCTGCTGTGGTTAGACTCATAGAGGTGCTCATTGCTTGCCTGCTGTGGTTAGACTCATAGAGGTGCTCATTGCTTGCCTGCTGTGGTTGGACTCACATAGAGGTGAGGTGCTGGTAGGGGGGAGGAAGGGAGGGGAGGTAGCATGTGTCAGTGTGTGTTCGAAAGCTTGATACTTCCAGCAAAGGGTAGATGGCATGAGCAGAGAGACAAAAATGTTAACTTAGAAAGTGGGGTATGGATCCCCATACCTCTCGCATGCTAAGCGAGTGCTCTACCATCTGAGCTACATCCCCATGACGGACATGGCCATCTGTCACATACCGTCATTGTCTATGCGGGGGAGCAACGGGAGGTGTGGAGGAAAAGGTTGCTTGCGCCAGCAGTTCCTCAGCAGACCCTCTCCGTGCCGTGACACTCTTCTCCTCGCAGTTATCTCCCTCGTTACACTACATCCTCTCACCCCACTTCCCCTCGGTCTCCCTCAACGCCTTCCTGCACCTACTCTACTTCCACCTGACATCCAGCCGCATCGCGACCTTTGGAACACCATCGACTGGGGGAATGAGCTCTCGACCCCACGTCGCACAGTCTACGGACCCGATCTCAAGCCACGCAAGCCTGCCCTCGTCCCCGGCACGATCCCCGGGACGAACATCCCACTCTCTATGATACTCGACAGAGAGTTATTGGCGCTGAGGCTGACGACGGCGAACGACAAAGAAGAAAAAAACTGAAGAAGCAGTGGCGGAACCTGCCCCAGTACCAGAAGAAGATCCCGATACGGTGCGCGCACGCTATATGCGCACCTCTGGATTCCGCGCAAACGACGACCTTTGGCACCAGCGCCTCGGTCACCCATCGCGCGCCGACTCACACTCGGGGAGCGCCATAAATGTCCCATTTTGGATAGAAAGCTACCTGAAAAGATTAGAAGGTAGAGAAGTTTAGAATGAAGAAGAAGAGGGGGTTCACTAGAAAGCAGTAGGATACATATAGGAAACCCTAAGGGGTTGTACTCGCTATAGAGTACCCCACTGCAGGCTAGAGAACAATGACATTCTGACACTACCTATCCAAACATGTATACTCTCACCCTGCAACATAACCAACTATTACCAAACCGCATTAAAACCTCCCTTCAAACCATACCTAACAGCCATGAGGGCGATGTTTCACACATGAATCACACCTTCGTGTCGACAAAAAGAACTTGCATAGACGTTTCACACTCACACGTCAAAACCACGAGCAACTGCGAAGGGAGCAAATGAGCTCATTTCGGGGACGTGCTCGGGACGTGCGGAACACATCCGAAGGTTCGTCTCCCAACTCGCTTCCCGTCAAAGTCGTCAAACAGTAACGCCTGTTTTCGCCAGCCAATATATTAATCCCTTCACCCTATATGCAGAAACCCTCGCAACATTGGACGTTAATGCACCTCGTCAAAATTCCGCACTGTACACTCCGAACTGGACAGGAAATGTTAGGAGTACGCCCTAGGGTACAGTCAAATTTGACAAGTGTGTTGTCGTAAAAATAACGAAAAAAAACGGGAGTGTGCTAAGGGTGGGTCAGGTAGGTTACATTTTCACAAATTTTCAATTCAGTTACCCAATTTGGGTGTGAACAAATACAATTTGACACACCCCCATAGACAAAGTGGGGGATAGCAAACACAGCGGATGGTCACAAGACTAGTCAAGCAAGAGAACAAATCAAAGCAAAGCTCAGGGTGGATCTCAAGATCACCACGCATTCGGAGCACAAGCAAGCGGCCACAAGGCCAGTTCACATGCAGGGTTATAAAGGCACAAGCAGTACAGTGATCACAACCTAGCAAGAACAAGCATGCAGGTATATATATATACATATATATATACATATATATATACATATATATATATATACATATATATATATACATATATATATATATATATACATATATATATATATAAATATATATATATACATATATATATATATATATATCTCAGTACAAGACAAGTCAAGCAACCAGCAGGTGAGGCAAAGGAGGCACAAGGCCTAGAGCAGTGCAGAAACGCTGATGATCACCAGACCCAAGGGCCTTGGTGAAGACATCAACAGTGTTGGCCCGAGAGGCCACGTAAGCAAGGCGTAGCTGACTACGCTGCTGCAGCTCCCGAGCAAGAAAGTAACGAAGAGTAAAGTGCTTTGTCCTGTGCTCTAGTCTCTGCTCCTGACTCAAGGCAATCATGGCCTTGTTGTCAACGTACAGAACTGGAGGAGAACGAGGCTGCTCACCCAAGTCGGTCAGCAGGTAGGTCAGCCAGCGTAACTCCTGTGCAACCATGGCCCCAGCGTAGATCTTGGCCTCACAGCTGGAACCAAGCACAGAAGACGAATGAGTGGACCTCCACGAGACAGAACCAGAGCCGAGGCTGAAAGAGTAACCCTGGGACGACCGCTGAGTCGCCTGGTCGTCAGCCCAAGCAGCGTTGGGGTGTCCTGTGAGTACCACTGGACCCCGTCCTCCAAGCACAAGCCCCATGCCTGATGTACTGCACAAGTAACGCAGTACCCTCTGTGCAGCTGTCCAGTGCTCCTTCCTGTGTCGCCCGGGGGCGACGAAGCGAGCAAGGATGCTGAGAGGGTACGCGAGGCCAGGTCGTGTGCACGTCATCAGGTACATGAGGCAACCCAGAAGCTCTAGGTACAGGCCACTCGGCTCTACGGACTCGTCCAAAGGTGGAGCTGAGAGTGAGTGGCCGGTAGCCAGAGGAGTGGGCTGTGGTGAGGAGAACCGAAAGCGGAAGCGCTGAAGGACCTGGTGCACCATGTATGACTGAGTCAGGGTGATGGTGCGCCGTGCTCTGTCCCGAGTGATCTACAAGCCAAGATAGCTATGCAGCTCACCCCGGTCAGTGCAAGTGTGTCTCTTCTGCAGTTCCGCCTTCACAAGGGTCAGCGCCTCAGTATCGGCAGTAGCAAAGAC